TATATATATATATATATATATATATATATATATATATATATTCCCCAGCGGGGGCAGGGGGAATTAATTACCCCACCTGACGGACAGGCTGGACCTTTCCAATGAACAACTAGGTCGTCGGACCAAAAATTTAAAAATAATAATAAATTGTTGTTATGGATCGCAGCGGGTTATAGGCCTAGGTTAAACTTGTGCTAAGTAGAATTTGCCTTTAAAACTCAAATAATTTCTTCTAAGTTGTTTTTCTTACATGCCAAATTGTTGTGTTTACCATTAATTAACAATCTGTAAGTTTAATTTTATATAGGCCTAGGCCAGTCAAACAATTTTTTCAATGGCATTTTGGATTCCACTTGGCAAGTTCAGCTGTGGTTCTGATCATGTTTCTAGGTCTAGCCTATGCGGTGTAGGATCGTTTCGGCCCCGGGTCGACGAGGCCTAGACTTAGTCACTGTACCTGCCTAGGCTACTACTCTGATCATTTTTCTAGATAAGAATCACACTCACAAATCATTCCAACCCTGCATCCAATTTCTTGCCAAACGTCTCTTTTTTGGGTAACATTTTAAAAATCAGCATTTGATTTATCATACAAGATATTGTTTTTTTGAACCTCCAAAATCAGGCGCTCAATTTGATCGTCCATTTCGTCGCGAGTTCAGTCATCAATCAGTGAAAGTTGATTTTCATCTTCCCTGACTACCCTCATCTGATTGGCTGATACGTTTAAAGGTCTGTTTATACGTACTTCAACGATAACGATAAAAAAGCTAAAAAGCGATTGTTCATATAGAAAATAAAAGAAATAAGAGAATTTTTGACACTAGGACGATTCGATAAAAATTTATCTTGTATACGATAACAAAATATTTACTTCAACGATAACGATAACGATAAAAAAAGCTAAAAAGCGATTGTTCATATAGAGAACAAAAGAAATAAAAGAAGTTTTTACACTGGGATGATTCGATAACTATTTATCGTGTATACGATAACAAAATATTTTAACAAATCAAATCAGATGACGTCATAATCATGGAAAAACAATAAAATCGTTGCTACTACTACGATTTTAATGTAATGGAACCATACCAATCAGCCAAACGCTCAGCTCGCTGCGATGAATAGGATTTAATAATTTTTTGGTAGAATTTTGTGTGAGCAGAACCATGAAGATCCATTGTTAACCTTTGGTACCCGGTTCAATCCCAATTGCTGCTCTCCTTGTGTTGCAGGTAAAGGCTGGGGTTAAAGTGTCTTTTAGAAGATACTAAACCCTTGGTTAGGTGCATGTTATGCATTATGCAGTACAAACTTTGGAAGACTATAATCTCCTGGTAGACCCCTTCCATGTATTTTAACCGTTGAAGGGTCATTTTGCTTCTGCCCCCTTCAATTTCATTTTTTGGGCTGCATTGTCCCATTTTTCATCCGATTTTCTTAAAGGTATCAAAATGCTCAGGACAAAAAACCGGTTCATTTTAGACCTGTACATTTGGTATCGAAAGTCGTGAGTCCACAACTCAGTCCCACCACCACTATTTATAGAAATAGTACTTCTAGATGGTCATCTCATCACCATTATTGTCAAAATGAATATCCAACATATCAATCCTCATGATCTTTTAACCAAAACTTTCAATAACACTGGTTTCGTGGCATCATAACATCATCTTTACAAAACTGTACAAGTTTTAAGTAATAGTTTTAATTTAACAGCATAGGACTGCTGCGGAACACCCCTTCCTTAAAATCTGGGTCACTTTTTTTTAATTTCAACAATTTTCTGGCAAGTTCTTGACTTATGAAATTACATTACAGTCGAAAAGTGGGGTGGCGCTCTTTGAGTCAAAGCTACTAAGTATAAATTCACGAACTTTAATTTGAATATAACAATACCCGGTGATCTTAATATTGACACATGGTGTGGCTTTTCTCATTAGGAATCTTGAAATCATGCAGACAATATCGGTAAAACTTGCTTTACTTCTGTACATTACCAATTGTTGGGATACAGGTTAGTAAACTTACGCCGTATTAATTTTTAAAACGATCTTCAGTTCTAGTTCTAATTAAAACTAGATAATTAGGTCATATTCCAAAGGACAAGGAATTCGACTAGAGGAAACTGACTCCGATTAATGGTCATGTTTTCTGTGGCATATTTTTCTTACAATAATCGTATTTCTTGTGTATGTGGCAGAGTCCAATGAGCCTGAATTATGAAGTATAAATGACGGATGTCGAACTTGATATTCTCGTTACCAGTCCTTGTTTTTGAAATTCATATTGCAGGGCGGTAGCTAGCCACGAGAATTGAAGTGGTCAGGTTGCGAGCGAAGCGAGCACTGAGTCTGGGGCCGCCAAGAGTCCCTGGTTGGGGTTCAGGTCTCTGGAAAAATTTGCTGTTTTCTATTGTATACACCAATTTTAATGTTTTATAGTAGTAATCTAATACATACCGGCAGTTTTAAAAATATTGTTTATAAAAATATGTTTTAAACTAACATCAGGCTATGATGAAGCAAAACAATAAAAATCTTTTGAATTCACAACAGGCAGATTTAATCAAGTGAAAGCTTGTTACTCACAGCATTGTTGTTATTTTAGTATTTTGCCTTTTGACATTGACAAAAATCTAAGATGAACACAACCACTTTCTTTCTGGTGTACTTAATCACTATGTAAAGAATGGAGTAAGCAACGTTTCCAATACAATACAGTACAATAATGTATAATATTTCTATCGTAGTATTTTAATGTTCATGTATGCTTAACTGAATGTTAACAAAGAACTTAAATAGCAGAAGAATGAGATGCCCCGCGTATTTGCATTAAAATCGATGGAAAATTCCCCCTCATGTGGATGAGGTAAAATTTGAACATTTTACTAACTGGAGCAACTACAGGAAACAAACGAACCAGAGCGGCGCCTTTATTGCTGTTTATCAGAGCCGTAGATAGAGAGTTTGGCCAACTCGGTTTCAATCACGTGACTTACACTGGCCATGTTGTCACCAAAACAAAACAACGCGATAGGGTAGGAAGTTAGCAGTTATTATAGATGATTAATGCTATATAATGTGAAATACCGTTATGTTGGGTTTGGGTTGCTGATGATTTTTTGTTCTAGAGGAGATTTTTGATATGCCATTAATAATAGAATCAACATTAAAATCGTTTTTTGGCAATTGTTTATGAAGTTATAGGCCAATATACGATTTTACCGTGACGTCACTGGCGAAAAAGTAATAAAAAAAAATCGTGTAAATAGCTCCGCGTAGGGTAGTTGCTGCGTACGATCTTTACGTGCATGCTGTAACCATGGTTGTTGTAACTTGCATATAGGCCTATAACTGCATCAGCGGTTGTCAACAGAAGAGTTACAGCTATGGTTACAGCATGCACGCAAAGATCGTACGCGGCGGATACCCTAC